CAACCCCTCGTTGTTCTTACTTCTCCCTTTTGCTAGGCAAATAGATTTTCCAAATTATGTTAGGTACGATTTCTTTCGTTTAAGGCGTAAAAGGTATGGCAAGTTTTTGCTGGAATGAATTGGCAATCCATGGGGTAAATTCGTATCTTTGCTTTTTTATTTTTTTTTATTTTAGGCCACACACAAAAAAAATTCTCTCATCTTTTTTAATTTATTATACTTACTTATTATATAATTTAAATTTAAAATTTTTTATTTTAATAAAAAAATCATCATTAAATCATTTAAATTTATTAATTTAGTAAAAGGAATAAGTAAAGTATAAATTAAAATATTTTTTATTTTTTTGATAATATTTTATTGAAACGATATAATTTTAAAATAATTTTTTTTAACCATTAAAAAATGAAGTGGATAAATAATAATAGCTTTAGTAAATATGCTATATAACTATATTTTTCATATTGATTATCATGTGACTAATAATAAACATTATCTTATAAATAAAAACTAAAAATGTTTTACTGTGTTGAATCGTACAAAACTAATTATTATAAAGGAAACTCCAAATGTAGGGACTTCTTTTCTATCTAAAGATCTTCTTATTGTCCAAATTACATTAAACAGTAAAAAATTAACTCAAAATAAAAATTGTCAATCCTTGATCCAGAAAAAAAGGAAATGTTTCTGCGACCTTTTTCAGTACATTACTAAAATGATGGATTAATTAGTCATACCCATAAAAAAAACGTGTATAAGCTTTGTCTTAATTAGCTAATCCGTTGGGGTTTATTACTTGACCAGCCGCAACCGCCGCCCCTTAGGCTTAGGCGCTCCTTTCGCCACAAACAGACAACCACCGCCGAATTTCTAGACGCTTGGACGATACATGAGGTCAAGTAAGTTCGTTAATATTATTTTTTCTTTTTTCTTTGTTTTAGTTATAAAATTTTTTTTTGATAATACCATATTAAAATAAAAAATTAATAAATTAAACAAAATTGCTATAGTTTAGTAGAAAACTTTTACACTACAAATTGTCGATTTTTTTTTTTAATCTTTATCTTTATGTGTCCATTTCAGCTATTTAAATTCCAGCAACCAAAACAATGAATAAATTAATTAAAACAATAATGTTAGTGAATAATCCATCTGTTATTTTTAGTAAACTTAAATTTTAATTTGGAGAGTTTAAATTTAATTATTGACTTTTTTATTCTTTTTAAGATATTATTTAATATGTTTATTTTTATTTTTTTAAATTACAACATATGTTAAATAAAAAATATATTTAAGTAGTGATTAATTAAAAATAAATATAAAAATTAATTAATTAATTAATTATTATTTTATTAAATATAAAAAAATAAATTTACTAAAGTTGATGGAATTTTTTTTTTTTCTTATCTACATCATACATGCATAATTATGAATTTTCAAATTTGAACCAAGAAGCCCATGCTGGTCCAAAAAATGAAGAAAGCGGTTCAAAGCAGTAGCGCAATACCTGAGCCCAAAACTTAGTAGACCCATGGACACTCTCTGTTGGTCGGTTAGGCCTCTCAGATCAAGTGAATGGCTGGACCATGTGGGCTTAGGAAAACCAGAATAGCACTTGGGCCAGCAACATGCAAAACAAGTCTGGAACACCCCTCCCTTTTTTTCCTTTTCCCCTAAAATTCCGACCCCAGGTTTACACTGGGCCAATCTGGGGCCGGAATTCATCTCTCTGAGAGATATTTGTAATCCCTTTTTAATAATAATAATAATAATAATAATAATAATATTAATAAGTGTTGGTCCGCCTGCGACAGAATGGAAAGCTAAATATTCAATTTGAACTGCACATTATTATAAAACAATAATTATTGAAAGAGGTTTTTTTTTTAATAATTGATATTTCATAGTTTAAATTGTAAAATATTATATTTTTATTACTTTGAAATTTATGTTTTTTAGATTGGACTATAACATTTGGATATTGAAATTAATTACTAAAATGATTAATGAATTATTATTATTACTTATTTGTGAAAGAGAGTTGGAAGTTTGGTTTGATTAGTGAATGCATGTAGATATGATATGATATTTTGATATTAATCTTTTAGTATTCGGTAACCACATTAAATTTCAACTAATTCAAAATCGAATCGCATCGCATCCCATGTAAGAGGAAACTCTCTTAGTACTCGTTTCTTCATTTATAAAATTTGAACTGAAAATATTGTTTAAGAGAAATTAAACTCTTTCTCTTTGAACCAACAGGTCATTGGTAGATATGATATGATATGATTCCAAGATACATATGGCTAGTTGGGACGGCATGATTCCACTATTTTAAGCCGAACAATCTGTTGTGCGCCTTCATGAAAATGGTTCAAGTTGAGATAGATATACTCCAATGTTTATATGCTTGAAAAATGGACAGACAAAGCCTGCTGAAGGAAGAAGCAAAGGTTAGGTTGTGCGCGTCAAAATGAAAATTCTATTGGAATAAGATCACTCAGATATATGCCAACCAAGTACAAATTATTAACTAGCATCCCCAGCGTCTCCATTTTTTTTCAGCACATAATTAACTTGAAACTTTGTTTTATCTGTCATTTCCCAATAAAATGCCTGCATTATAGTGGGATCAAAATAAGGTCATCTGTGGCGGAACTAAAAAAAAAAAAATTTAAGAAGAACACCTTTTAATAAGTGACTTATCAATTGATTAAAATTTTGAAATTTTAATTTAAAACTCTCAAGTTTACATTTTAAATTGAGTGAAGAGAAATTTTAAAAAGGAAAAGAAAAGTTATTCCCTCTTTTTATATTAAATGTATATAAAAAAAAATTCAAAAAGAACCGCCTTAAAAAATGGAATCCTTTTAATGAGAATTAAAATCCAAATCTTGGTCAATATCAAAAGTATAAATTAAACACCGTACAACGCATGCTACAAGTTGCTGAATTTTATATTCAGAAGTTTGAAACCACCATGTTTTGTCCCCAAAATAGAAAAGTGGACATACCCATGAGCAAGCAAGGATAGCTGTGTCTGGAGATTAAATTAAGAGAATGTATCTTTAGAGCATCAAAGTGGGTCAATTTCAGATGATTAGCCTTGACCTCTGAACTTTAAACTAACTTGACGCCCAAACCACTATGTCTTAGTGCACGTGGGGGCCAAATCACTGAATACTGATTTAGCTTTAGACAACGCCGCCCCCCACCCCCACCCCCCGGCCCGGGCCCCTCCCATGCTCCATGCATTTACGGGTTTAGAATATTCCACCTCCATACGGCAAACCCCATTAAGACGACTTATCTTACTGGATTTAATGATAATGATGACAGCATCTAGCTGTTTTTTTAATGTCATAAAAACTCCTTAATTAAACTCAGTTGTTTATTAATATTCAAGGTGCGTGAATTAGTTGGTAAGATAATTTAGTTTTTATTTTATTGATTAAATTCGTTAAAGGGGGTAATATTTTATCAAAATTTGTAGTTTCGTTATGATTGACATGCTATTAATCCAACTTAAGAGGTAAATTTAGTATGATGTGCATAATAGCTAACCTATGATATTTGATTGAAGAAAAAAGATGGCTAAAAACCTCAAAAGCAGAAGTCATGTCATGTTGTATGTAGATGAGGCAGGGGATGGTGCAAAGGCAGATTATTGTCCGTATTTTACAAGACTTGGGTAGGAACCCCTAGAGATGAAGGGGAATATATGTTGGCGATCATGTTTAGAGAAGTGCTTGTTGTCCTTTGTATATTCCAAAGGAACAAATTATATAGACGTGTTGTCACTGGACAATTGACCTTTACATGAGGAGGAATTTGTTTAATTGGTTTGGAAGAGTGAGAACTTGCCATTTCTATTGTATATTCTATAGCAGCTGTGAAACCTATGGTTATTAAAGTTCGTATATTTAATTAAAACTTTAGCTAAAAATATCATGCGGAATCATATTAAAGTTTAGGTTATCAAAAAGTTAGAAAAAAAATGGGCCTTTAGCATCATAGAATTACCTGACAATGACAAGTTATATCTTAAATCTTAATAAGTTAGAAAAGTTAAATCATTATAAAAAAATGTAGTACCAAAAAAAATATAACAATACACTTTATATTACATTGATTAGGAAATTATTATTTTTAAATTTAAATTAAAGGTAAAAAAATATAAATGCATAAATTTTAATGATTGAATAAGTAAGTATTGATAAATATATTAAACTAAAAAGATATATCAATCATTTCTTAATAATTAAAGAGTTTTGGACAGCTGCTTATGATTTTCCTTTTTCAGCCCAAAATAGTATTTATATGAATATAAAGGAGTACAAGGGGCCAACAGCTGCACTTATAAAGGAACTAAACGTTTACATTAAGAATAAGTTTGATACACAACACATTACTTGCTCCTCAGTTGCATTGTAAATGCACAAAGAACATCGATAACTAGAAGTTTAATACTAGCTTAGAAAAATGATACACGAATAGAAACTCAATTATTGATGGAGTGACCGACGCCAGGACTGTGCCCTGGTGATGTGGGTCGAAAATCATCAACATATTCCGTCTTGCTCATTTTCTCTTGTCCGGAGCCTTCAGTAGTGTGCGTGCCACCCTTTGATGCGCTTAATGTGTTCTCGTGATGTTTCGAGCATTTCCTGCATGACTTTCTCCTCAAATGCCTTCCTTCTACATCTACAACTTCTTGGCAAAAAATTAGAGCAATGAGAAAGAAAACAGAGAAAAGCCTAATTTTTGCCATTGTGGAAAATGGTTGGTAGAGAACTAAGAACAAGAAAATTAACGGAGAGATTTTGGCAAGTATTCAAGGGTGAAGTTAGTTGAAGAGGAGTGTGCCTAAAACTGCTTCTCCTACTGTGGTATATATACTAAGGGGAGGAATGGGGTCCTGAAGCCATTGGCCTTAAATTTGAGGGTCGTCCTCACCAGTGGGAGAGGATTCCATCTGAGACGAAATAATAAAAGAAAAAGTACACATTGGATGGTTTATATTAATGGTTTCAGCTCAACCTCATGAACAGAAAAAGCTAGCTAACCCCCGCCATGTTCCTATATTCTTCTTGCCCCCTAGCATGTTCATTTTCTCTTCCTTTAACAATATCAGGTCAGGAGTATAGATCTAGAAATTTAAGTTTGGGAAGGCCAAATCTCAAAACTTACAAAATTTAAGGGAGCCACATAAGGAATAATTAAAGATTTTCATATTTACACAAAATGCCGAGATTTTCTCACAGAACTACATAGGACATGCACAATACATATGGTAATGTTCCTAGTTCCTTTTTTTATGCTATTCTAATCTAACATTTGAATCTAATACCTTTAATTTTTAAAAGAAAAAATACCATGATTAATACACATTATAGTTTAAATATAAATTGCATGCCTTAACAATACATATGAACTAGTTTTAGACAAATCTAGCTAGGACCTTGGAGAGGAAAAGAAAGAAATAAAGGTAAGAACGTCCAAGGCTATTAGAATGTTAAACAACCTGTAAATAACCAACCGGGCAACCTCTCCTACCCTACAAGAGGACTCAAAGGTTGCACACTTGCACTTATTCTTTAAAAATGAGAAGGAGCTGTATCTTTCCCACGGTTCTCTCCACAATACTCATGCACCAGCCCCACTCAAAATATCACTAGCTAACCTTAACGACAGGACTGCGTAATTAATTAATCACATGGACGGTCCATGGTTGGACTTGTTAACTTTACAACCAGAAAACCTAACCAACTTTTTGCAGTTCCAATCCTTTAAAAATGGCATCAGGCCGGCTAACATGATGATCATTAGCCACTATAAAAGTAGCACTGGATTCCATTGCAGTTAAGGGAAAGCTTGGACTAACAAGAATCAAATTTAGGAGGATGTCCCAACTTAACTTAGGGTGATTGCTTGAGACTTTATATATACAATATAATATCTTTGTCCTAGGCAAAAGATATTAAGTTAGTGGGCTTGTCCCAGTTGAATCACTCCACTGTAGTAATGCAACAGTACGCCTTACTCTTTTGTTTTTTTTTTTTTTTGGCTAAGTACACCTTTCTTCATTATATATATATTTTCATATATTCAATGATTATTAAGGAATCATTCTCAGCTCGTGAAAATATTGCATAAAAAAGTACCCCTGTTACATTTCTTATGGTTTCTTAACTAATTTTGAAAATTATTATCTTCCTTTATCTTTGTTTCACAATACTTTTCATAAACCTTTTTTCATACAATATTTTATCTAAAAATATAAAATTATAATTTTTAATTAATTTTTAATATGTTTTTACTAAATTTAATTAATATTTTATTTATTTATGAGATAGTAAAAAATAAAAAAAAATTGTAGTAGTTATAGCACAGTACAAGCAAATGAAGTATTATTTTACGCCCTTTTTATTTTTATTTTGTAAAGAGTCATGCCACTCAATTAATTTCCCTCTTTATTTGACAAATTAAACAGAAGTAGCAATTCTCTCCCATCCTTTCTTCCTGCTTCTTAGGTTCACAATTCAAATTTATTTCTTCTAATTTCAAAGGGAAGGTGAATAAAATCCGAAGGCTATTAGATTGCTGACCAGTTTTTTAACTTGTTGATATTTAGTTTCTTGAGCCAAAACTTTGATTGATATCTTTTGTCTCCTCCAGAATGTGGGTAATTGAGTCAAGCTCGGCTCGAATGATTAAATTTTATATATGGGTTTAGGCTCAAACTCTATCAAGCTAAACATTTCTAAGCTGAATTCCAGCTCAATTAACTATATAGTCTCAAGCTGGACTCAATCAACATTAATTAACTAGATTAAATGTTTTCCTCTGTTTTCTCTCTTGAATTATCTCTTCTCAATGTCCTCATTAGCTATATAAAGTATATATGTGATGTGAGTGAACATAAATCACAGTATAGGCGCGCAAATTAAGCACAGAGCAATGAAAATGACGCAGACTGTATCGATAAAAGTTAGAAGAGATACAATGTACAAGCCACAATAGTGAGCAGATACCATAAAAGGAAATAACAGCATAGCCCTAACAATGGCATTCAAGAAAGAAGCACTGGTACAATAATTATTAAAAACTGCAGTACAAACAACTAAATTTATGTTAGGGGAATTCAAGAAAGAAGCACTGGTACAATAGTTATTAAAAACTGCAGTACAGACAACTAAATTTAATGTGAAGGTTTTAATCTTAGTTATGGATAGTATGGCCAATGCCAGGGCTATGTCCAGGGGTGGTGGGTCGAAAAGAGTCGAGAGATTCTTCCATGGATCTCATAGGATGGTGATAGTGGCTGGGGCTT